TCCCTCTGACTCTAATTGGAGTAAAGAACAAATTGAATTTTACTATTGGTAAAATAATTTTGGAGAACTACTTATTACCGAAGATAACACTTCACTCAATCTAGGTGTTTTCATGATTCAAGAGAAATTTTTTCATTTGACCAAAAGTCTTTTTCATTTCAATAAGCGTTAGGCTTAGAGATAGAAATTTAGCGGATTGCTACTTTATTAAAGCCTGACTGACTCAGAAATCTCTATGGCAGATCCTCCTACTTTTAGCTAGACTCCCAGAACCAGCTAAGCTATAGCCCAGCTATGAAAGGAAACCGATGCGTAGCACGGAGCACGTTTATTCAGTACGAGTATTGCGGATAAATTGTTCACGCGGGGAGCTACTCATGATCAGAATGGGGGATTAGGTTATACAGAGGTTGATGATTGGCCACTGTTTGTACGGTCGTGCACACAGAGTTGCACGGCCGCACCTCATAATCCTGGCGAGCAGACACGCAGACATACGATGACACACACAGCGACAACGGATCCCACAGAAATGTGCAATTGAAAAAAGGAAAAAACATAGGATATGCTTAAATTTTAGTAATTGTACAGTGTCATAACACCTACTTTTGTAACAATAAATATATTGGATGGATTAATTTGACTAAAAAATAATTAACAAGAAATTCTTTAGAGCAAAGCATTAACTGCCGAAATTTAGAAAGTAAATTTTACATAAAACAATGTGTACTTTTTCGGACCCTATATTATTAGGTTTTCGATTAAAGAGAAGCATATAAAAGCACTACGTGAGATTATACTTCACTTGAAGAATAGGTTGTATAGCACAGTCTTTCAGAATGCTCGTTGTTGGAAGCAATGTCATTGGACAACTAATGACGAAATACTATTATGTTATTATTATTATATTATAAAATGAAGGCAACGACAAAAAAGACTAGCCTAGAATGAGAACATTTGAAAGAATATATCAAAATAACCAGACAATATCGGATAAAAGAAAAAGGAACTCAATATAATTTCGGAATAAATATGTCTTTATATCGCAAAAGTATGACTTTGAAATCATGTCAAAATGAAATATATGTAGGTCTACTATTATATTCTTTAAAAATTAAGGTGTAAATTTCAAAATACTTTTGTGCAATATGCAACTGCGTAATGTCAAAAGAGAGTAAATAGACGTATTTGCGTTATTAACAAAAATGCGATTGTGTTATATGTTGCTTTAACGGGAGATGAAATCGTATTTATGGAGCAAAATGCATATAGACTGTAAAAATATATTAGTTTAAATCCTTAAGATGTTTGGCGATTTTACGCAGATTTTCTATTAGCCAATTACTGCTTGCTTTACCTTTTATTACAATGGAAAGAAGTGAAACTTTTTTTGGTGGAGATGCTCCTGTGTACGTTACAAAAGTTACATTTTTCGGATTGGGAAAGACGAATCATGAGTTTATAAAGAAACAGGTTCGTCAAAGTGATACTAACATTATTTCAATCAGCTTGGTCCGCTTGTAAAATCTAAAAACCTGTCTGAGCTTTTACAAAACACTAGCGAACTCAAGTCAATGCTTCAAGGATTGCAGATCTTCAAAGAATGCTCAGTCACAATTGATACTGAGAAGGGATCTTTCCGTAACGACGCATATAAGGTTTGTCCCCTTTTTTTTATTCACCTCGTTGCTCATCACAGGTGAATGTACATGTCGAAGAAAAGTGGCCCCAAACTATTAGGGGCAATTGGTCTGTCAATACAGATGGTTCAATGCGAATGGGAGGCTATTATTCATTGAATAATATATTTAAAAGAGGTGAAAGGTTCGAAATTGAAGGAAATCTCGGTAGTGATGCAACTAGGACGAGGTTCGTCGTTTTAGAATTTCATATTTTCTTAGATCCGCAACCTTTATCAAACCCTTGGAGTTTAATCCAAATGCAAAGTTACTGTTTGGTGGTTCGGATTGTAATTATGATCACTGGTGGTCGAAGTTTATGCGAAATGAAAGCTCAATTTTCGCGGAACTCATGGCTCCGACTCGTCTTGGCTTGCACAAGCTTCACTGGAGTAATGTATGGCGAGAAATTGAGGCATCTAGTAATAACAGTTTTATTAATTTTGTTAAAATTCACTTTTTCATTGTTTTTTGTGTTATTTGCTCTGCAGGTTTTTCTACACCTTATAATATTCGACTTGAAAGTGGATCAACTTTGAAGATGAACTTTAGCCACAGTGTTGAGATGGATTCTCGGGACGATCGTGTATTTCCACAAAGCGGTTGTCTGTTTCGTTTTTCAGAGGAATTGTCTTTTCTGCGTCCTCCTCCCCCATCGTCCTCTTTCGATCACGGAAATGCTACAGCGTAAGTGTTCCACTTATGACTTTGTGGAATTAATCTTTATCTCCATTGTGGTAATGGACAAGTATAGTACATGTTTGCTGCTAATGAGTGCAGGTTTAGTAAATGTGATTTTGAAGTTTTTTTGAATATGTTAGCATTCCAATTCAAATGATATTTTCAGTTCTTCTCTAAACGCAAACGTATATTTTGGAATTGGCCATAGGTTTATATTTTATTCGATGGATAGACATTTATTATCCACACAAATTTTCACATGCTCATAACCTATTCGTATCTCTTGCTCGGAAACATACCAATAAGTTCAGTGTTTTTTAGAATTTAAGATCATACAATATTTTGACAGTTTCGGTTATGTTGACTTTGCAATTTTTTAAATGTTATTTTCCCGAAATTCTTTGAACTCATTATAATTCATGCTCTTTCTTTAGAAGTAGAGAAACATTTTCATTCTTCATCAGGTCCTAATTGTATTTAATGGATAGAGTAATTTGTTGCCACAATTTTTCCGATCCGGGAAAGCAATCCTCCAATTTTCCTTTGATCTTATTTCAAGAGCTTATGAATGCTTATTTAATCGCATGGAATGCATACCTTCATATCCATCCATCTTTTGAGCCAGTTGGAACTCGCTTGATGAATTGAAGCACATGCTTGCTTGGAACGTTTAGGTAGAATAGGTTTTCCGATGGTTCATACTTGCCAAAATTTGAAATTGTCTAGTCTTGGCATACTTTTCGATGCCAATTTCGATGTTACTTTTCTAATGATCCGATAAGGAAGTGGAATCTTGAATTTTAATTTTAACAATTTTGCTTTCTTATAATTTGAGCTCTGATTGTGCACACCATAATATGCACTTTTCTAATCGAAATGTTTAAACTATTGGCAAGTCTGCTTTTCTCTAGATTATCCTGATCTTTGTCAAATTTCATTCATTTTTGTATCAGTAGTAATATTGCTGAAAAACGTTTGTTTGCAACTCCAAGCTGTTTTCACGGAATTCGTCTTGCCCAGCATTATTTACAAGAGTAAAACGTGTTTCAAAAGGCTACTTATAATCAATTATCAAGCGCGACGGTTACTCTTGTCTCCATAAGTGGAGTTTTCATTTATAGCGCTTTGCCAAAAATTTTCCATTAGCAACATAGGGAAAAAATATAAGAAGATTCCTCAGTTAGTTGGTTACTTAAAGTTAATTTAGTGCTTATATCACTTTAAAATTGCTTCAATTGTAAGTAATAATTTTTGATATTTTGTAGATAATGGGAATTCGCACATAAACTTCAAGTCACTAAAAATAGTTTTGATTTATAAAAAATTATTTGTTCTAAGGTCCGAAGATGAGCGTTCAACCCAACTTCGCTTGGACGGTGTTTTCCAGAAGCCTCTGCGTTTAACCAATTGGTTGGTTGCTGAAGGAACGCTTTCTGCAGGCCTTGTTCATTCTCTCAGTAGCCATCCCGTAATACCACGCGTTACTTAAATTAATATCACTACCCAGTCAATCTATTCTTATGCTCATCTCATATTCCATACACTAGATATCAATTGCTGATAGATTCTTCCTTGGAGGTCCAATGGAGTTGCGCGGATACCGATTTTGCAGTGTTGGTCCCGCCGAACCACAAATGTTACCCCTTGTACCAAGTCAAACGCCAGGACCTTCAGAAACAGGAGATGCTCCAAGTTGTCCCAGTGGAGCTCTAGCCTCTTGTGTTGCTGGATTACATGTTTATGCTCCTTTACCATTTGTTCATTCCTTTACGGAAGATGGCAAGGCATCTTTTGCTCGTCTCCATGCCTTCGCTCTAACAGGCATGTGTCAATTTCCGATTTCAAATTTTGGCGCGTACTTATAACATATAAGTAAACACGATATCTAACATTTTTAGGTTGTCTTCTCTCTGATCCAATTCGGGAATGGCGATTGGCTCGTGCTTCAGGTGATCCATTTTCTTCGCGTTGTCAGGCTGTAGCTGCTTCGGTTATTGGAGGAGGTGTGGCTCTTAGATTTGCCGGTGCTGTTCGCTTGGAGATCAATTATTGCTTCCCATTGGCTGGATCGGTCCTCTTTTCTGGAGCCGCTTCAGCGCAAAACCTACCCAAAGCTGGTTTCCAATTGGGCTTTGGTGTGAATTACACCTGAAATGTTCTACTTTCCTGTCCCCTTCCGTTTGCGCGCCGTGTCCCTTACCTTCATATTAGTTGAAAGATAGCGTTTCTATATCATATCACTTTAGTGACACTTTTGCAATCGCTCTTCAGAGTGAGAATGAAAATCGAATTTCTACAATGATTTATTGACTTTCGCTATTCTCTTGGGTGATAGTTTAAATTCAGAGGAATACATTTATTTTGTCTTTATGAAGATTTCAAAAGACAAATGACTAAATGTGTCTGATGAAGAACAGCGAGGTCTAATGCTTTTCCTTCAATAAACCTAAAAGGACGGCGTATGAATTGAAAATGAAGATGAGGAGGGTGATGAGATGCAGAGACTAAATGACAGTGTTTTGAAGTTGGACCAAGCAAAAGCGGCTAAAGAGACTGCCAAACATTAAATAATATGTCAAATTTGTCACAGTCATATAAAGTGCTCTTGTGATTTGGTTTCCCAATGATTTCATCCATTTCTGAACGGTTCGAAATTTTCAAGTTATTTCATGTAATTAGGAGGTAGTGAATAATGTGTTTAAATTGCAGCAATAACTATATTTGACCTTTGAAACATCGCCAATCATTCAATTCTATTACCATTTACCTAATATTCACCTTCTAATAAATTGAAATAGTACTATGGCGAATCATGTACTAAATAGATTAAAGGAGACCTTTCAAACAATTGAAAATAGCAGATTCTACTGTCTAATATTACAAAAAAAAGTATATAGGGTTTCATGTCGGAACCGCTGATTGTATTGCCCCATTAGACTTGGAATGCAAAACGAGTGTTGATTGACAACCTCTAAGAGAATCTTAGAAATCAATAAAAATTTAAATCAAATGTAAATGCAAAAGCATTCCAAAAATATCCTTTTAACAATATTAGATCATGGGGTGTGCGATAGACTTACCTCCACGTGGTGCACCCTGGGCAACGTATATTCATACGGCAAAAAAGTCTATTGACTGGCAGCTGACTTCTCACTTCAAACTACCATCACCTCACTCTATGCCATATTCGACTATTTCCACAGTACTCACCTCACCTTTGTCTTCCTCTCTGTGAAGCCTGAAGTCAACTAAATGGCTAATGATGACCATCAAGACGCCTGCCATTTGATATAAATAAATAAATATTAGATCATATGTTAATTAGAATTCATTTATTGTGCTAATCATATTGACTATTTTTGTTAACAAAGGTCAATGATACACAGCAATAAGCCCAGCGCCTTCTTATTTAGTAATGGAAGCGAACTTGCTTGGAAAATAGCTATGATATCTTCCTTATATTAGCAAATGCATGACCGAAATATTCATGATCATTTCAAAACCATATATTGACTAGTTTTGAATGCTAGTCATTGATGCTGATGGAAGACCAGACAATTTCAAAAAGCACATTTTTAACGCATTATCAGCTGCATGAATTTGACTTTCCCACATGTCCATTGATAGTACTCTACTACTCTTATTATTAACTGGGCAAATTTCACATTATTCTACTCGTTAAAAATAAGATTTGAAATAATTAAATGCTAGAAACTAAGGCTTCACTAAAGACAGCTCATATGAATTCGTTTCCAAGCCGAAACAGAAGATGTCATCATTAGACTTTCAATGAAAGCGAGTGCTTCCTCTGTCACAGCCATGGGAAAATGGCCGAAAATGTGTCACCCTTTTTAATGCAAATGTACAACACTTATAACATTGTAGACATCCCTTCACGTTTTACCATAGCAAGATTAAATAAATAGCTTCTGATAATTGAAATAATTTCAATCATTTTTATAAAAGATAAATAAAAATACTGCATGCGGTCATTTTATCACCAAAAGTTTAGCTCGTTGGACATTTTCTATTTCACAAATCTGATCCCAGACGAGTTCAGTGGAATCTTCTTCCTGTAATAGGAAAATTGAAAACATTGCTTATCATTATATTTGAATAATTAATTTAATTTAATTTCAAATGCAACGAACTTCATCCTCATCCGGCCTCTTTAGTTCATAAATTTTTCCACAATCAGCTAAAATAGAAATTGTTTATATAAGTAAATACAACAGAAAAATTTCAACTTGATGGTACTAACTTGAAAGCAGAAGTCTCCTATCGAAAACTGCCATTGAATAGGGGAAAGAATCGATTTCAGGGTCTTCGGAAATTAGTGTCCACTGTCCCGTTGACATTGTTAGCTTTTCCACTGTATCATCTCCGTCTCTTGCCACATAGACATCCCCCTTGAAGTAGACGGCAGCAGGCCAGATTCGAGGTTTTAACATCGGTGCAATGGTATGCCATGTTCCATTGTACTCCTCATTCTCAGAAGCATCGTTTAAGAGTAATTCCACTGTTGTGAGATTCGGGGCCAGTTTTCCGCGTTTCTCACATCCACCAAGGACTAATTCTCCAAAGTCTGGAATATGAACCGCTCCAGTGCCATAGCGAGCTGTTGGCATTGGTGGTAATGACGACCATCTTAATGTGAAGATACATATTTAAAACAATTACTTAATGAAAAGTAACTCCTGCCTCAGTGGATTCAATGTGAAAATTAGTCATCGTTTTAATAACTGAATGTAAGGGGTGTTGATCACTATTATTAGATTAAGTTAGAAGGACTGGTTATTGGTTAAGTAACTAGTCGGCCACAGATCGGTTCTTTCCGAATATAAAAAATACTACCAGACATCCTGCTTCAGGGTACATCAAAAAATATTCACCTACTTCCGAGGACCTTTTTCCCTTAATGGATGTTCGACAATTTTCTTAACTGAAATTAATCTATAAAACACAATCAAGATGTTTATCTTGACTCCCTTGGTCTGGGTCGCAGTATAACATTGGCCTTAACAATTACAGTTAATCTTATCAGACTATACAATCGCATTAGTCCATGCATTTGCTTTAAAAGTCGCAAGATATCCATATATTATTTAAAAAATCACTAATTTTCCCAAGAAATTAAAAAGAGAGACAACCTGTCGGTTGTAGGATCATATTTTTCGCAGGATCCTAATATCATTTTCCTCGATCCATCATAACCACCAAAGATGAATATGCAGTTGTTACTGACAACGGCTGAGGCACCACTACGAGCTTTCTTCATTGGCGCCACGTTGAAAACTCGTCCGTTGTAGGAATTAACCCTTTGCACCTGATTGACAGAATTCTTCTCGGAGTCCCTTCCACCAATTAGGTATACGTCACCTATGTGATCAACGCAATGAACATTAAAATAAACCCTACTTAAAAATAATAAGTATATGGTATACAACCTTTCAGTGCAACTACACAACTATTGGTCCTATAAGGAACACAATAACGGCTATTGGCCGTTGTTTGAATGTGGGGAACAGCTGCAAGGATTCCATACTCCGAATCTTCATCAAGAGCATGAACAAGCAATTTTTCGGAGATACTGGAAGTTATTCGTTCTACAGATGCATCCGAGACATTGCTTATTCCACTGTCAGAGTTTTTTCTCGAAGTTTTCCATCCATCTATAATGGACCGCCTAAATATTCATGTCGATAAAGAGGCACACAACTATGACTTACTTCAATTTGTCCGATAGGCCAATATTGAGCTCCTCAGTTGCAAGTTCAACAATAAAATGACCAGATAGGTTATCGAGGTCAATAGCGCTGAATAGTTCCTCAAAATACGCTGCTCTTTCATCTCTCTCCACTTTTTTATTCGGTGCATTTATCCACGAGACAATAGTTCTCAGCTTTTCCTCTTCCGTTATCTCACTATGTTGAACCTCCTTTAGCAGTTCTAGCATATTTTCCACTTCAGTAAAAATGAGAAGTCTTTGGTTGATATTTAGACTCTCGAATGTATTAGCCATGAGAGGTATGCATGCAGTTGCGAGTCCCTTATTCGAAGTTGCATTTGCGATTGTCCATATCTGCTCTAGATTTTGATATGATATGCTACTCACGTAAATATACGCAATCTGAACCCACCTTGATTTGATAAAGTCATTACACCATTGGATCAGCTTGCGGCAACCGATTGTAAGGGAGAGCAGGTAAAGATTGGTCGCGTTTTCCAAGGTTAAGTTCACACTCCCTGTATACGCGTAATCCACCACCGCCTTAACAATACTATATACTTATAGATAAAAGTAGTATTTCACTTACTCAAATGTAAACCTAATCCATTCTATTCGGTTGTTGGAATCTTCCGTAAATTTGTCTTCGATACTTGGAAATTGGGTACAAAGAACGATTCTATGCACTGGTATTTCTCGTTTGTCTTTTGTCTAGGGGGGAGGGGGAGGTAGGAAATACAGGAACAAAAGGAAGAACTTACAATAATTACACCGTCTAAAAATTTTCCCTTCTTTCGAAGACTTTGAAACAGCTTGACTGGAATAGAAATGGTATCAACGTTTGTATAGATTTTTTCTTCCATTTCGACTGACCTTACACTTGTGCAGAGAGTGCGAATGTGTGCGTGTGTGCTTTAAGAGACGTAATGTTGGTAATTATACCATCTTCGCAAGAAACAGGCATTTCCCAATTAGGATGAGCTTATTGGAGCACCAACTAGTAAATAAGTCATTAAATTTTAATTGAAATACGGCTGTGCTTAAGTTGCGAAAGTTGATGGAAAAATGACTCCGCACAACAGCACAAATACAAATTGTCCTATCATCGAAAACGTACAATAGTTAAACGACAATAATTTGAAAAGTTTGTGGGATGAAATATTAAGATTTCTATATAATTACTTTTATTTAGGTGGGGAGGGGGACATTATTTTAGTGAACTTCGTTAAAATAGGGAAAAATTAAATGCATATTTTAAATCATGTAAGCTTAGGGACTGAATGCTTTTGTAAAACACTGTATCCATAGGAACGATTTTATATGCTACATGCCGGGGTGTGTGATAGACTTACCTCCACGTGGTGCACCCTGGACAATGTAGGCTCATACGACAAAAAAGTCTATTAACTGGCAGTTGACTTCTCACTTCAAATTACCATCACCTCACTCTATGCCATATTCGACTATTTCTACAGTACTCACCTCACCTTTGTTCTACCTTTGTGTTTGTCTCTTATACCTTTGAAACATTCTTCTGTTCCTCTCCCCATCACGACTTTCTCCCCCTCTGTGAAGCCTGAAGTCAACTAAAGGGCTAATGCTAACCATCAAGACGCCTGCCATTTGATTAATAATAAATATGCTATATGCCTAAATGAAATGAAATAACAAGGGAACTCGAAGTGTCTACGCACTCAATTTTGATAAGATCACAATAAATAATTATTTGTTAAAACTATCGATGCATTAAGATTACATCAATTTCAACGGAATAATTACTAAATGCCCGACTTACCCCTGAAATCTAGAAGGAAAGGTCGTGCGGGAAGTCAGAACCACACACTTGTGGGGCACGTTATCGCTTTGTGCGTCATCATATGCCTGCATGCCAGGATTGGGAGGTGCGACTGTACAAACAGTGACCAATCGTTAACCTCCGTTTGTTTAACCTAATCCCCATCCTGATCATGAGTAGCTCCCTGCGTGTACACACTTTATCCGCAATATATTTACTGAATAAACGTGCTCCTTGCTACACGTCTGTTTCCTTTTATAGCTGGGCTATAGCTTAGCTGGTTCTGGGAGTCTAGCTAGATGTAGGAGGATCTGCCATAGAGATTTCTGATTCGGTCAGGCTTTCCTAAGGTACCAATCCGCTACACACTCATTATACCAGCATTAAGAGTATGACCACTCAAGTAGAGAAGCCAGGCGTTCAAAGTGGAACTATGGAAAAAGAATCGTGCTTCGAAGATTTCCTCTTGTTTTGTGTTCAGTTAATAGGAATTTGTAGAGAAATGAAGAAGAGCGAGGTAATGCCTACCCACGTTTGATCTACCTTTTCGGGGGGAAATTTGAAGGCACACCATCTGCGGGGGATATAAGGTTTCAAATTAGTATACAAATCTTTTAGAGTTGATTTATTGTCCTGAAACTGTCCGAGTTTACGATTCTCTTTAAGATTTACAAAGGAATGACTATTTATAACCACTTAACCTAGTGTCCCATGCCCCACTTTCGAGTTTTCTACACAGGTAGTACAAATTTCGAGTTTCTTTCAACTGTACTCTCTACCCTTTAAGAATTCAAAAGGTAACAAGTGGGAGAAAAGATGCGAATAAATTCTTGGTACGTTTGGGTCAGAAATGTTGAAACTAGGAATTGCATCCAATTTGTAAAACTGTCAATTGAAATGTGTACAACACTATAAATTTTAAAAGTTAGAGGGTTCTTTCTTAAACATTAATTATTAATGCTCAAATATTGGTAATGGCACGTCGCTTCTACATCTCTTTATTTTAAAGAAACAATTGCTTAGTATTTGTCGAATCATGCGCGATATTTTTACAGAGGTGTGTAATGTTACTAAAACATAATGGATCTTTCTTGTATCGGGTAATTGACAAAAAATTAATTGACCAAACCTTAATGAAGCCGTTGGAAATCCCACTAAGCACATAAAAATACAGCATAAATTTGCTCCAAAAACATATTAGGTTATGTCCGCAGTTGAAAGTATAAAATGGAGGGATTTTATTCCAAATAATAACAGATTACCATCATGATTGGTCATTAAATGCAATCAATGTTACCTTACATTGTAGAAATATTGAAGGCCGATTAAATGGGATGTATCTGACCCACTCCCATACTTGATCGCTGCGTCCAAACTTGCTTATATGTTCTTGAACGCTTAAGACTGCTATGATAAGTCTTTGTAGTGAACTATATTACAGCAATCTTAAAGTAATTAAGTCAGCATTTAAAATTTATATCTTTACGACGTATTTCATTCAAAAAGAATAGATTTTTTGATTGTTAATAAATCCACTCTTTTTGGGAAATATATTTATATTATCTTCCAGAAAGTGCCAATTAAAATTTGCGCTAGGTAATAAATCTTGACTAAGATTATGTCATTAAGTTACTTTAACTAAAATAAAATCCTGATAGAATTCGGCTTTTAAATCCAAATAAATGTAACCCAATGTATTTGCATAAAGCCTAAAAGTGAATTTAAGGTGAAAATCAAATGCAATGGTAAAATACGAAGCCTTCACAATACGAAATAAGAAGCAAAAAATAAGTTGTCGCAATCGTGTGGTAACGATTATAGCAAGTGTGCAGCTTTGGTTCTTCTTTTGCGACTGTAGTGCTAACGCCACTAAAAAATGACACATTCACCAATAATTTAATTGTATTAAACGGAAAATCGATGAGATCTGCGCATTTGCTTAGTCAATTATATTTAAACAAGCTGAAGAAAATGGAGCCCTATCGTCCTTGCGAAATAAACTCAGAGATTTTACTGATAGCTTAATATTCTATCACAGAATAAGTGTAGTTAATACCCAAACAAAGCATTTTCCCTTATCGCTGCCATTGGTGCCGCTTTATCTACAAGTTCTGCAAGGTTTGAGCGCTTTGGAAGCAGGAGTCCTGTATGGAAGTTGCTGATGCTGCTTTCCACTAGTGAACAACCTTACTTGTCAGTAAATTCGACTGATAGTAGAAAATAGCATGCATCTGAATTCAGCCATTTCAAAAGATTGGACTTTTATGCAAACTCCACCCCTCTGTAAGTTGCTGAGTTAAGTGAGTTCAGTTTGAATAACAAAGGTACTAGTATAATGACATGAGTTCATTGAATTTCTGCAAAGAGTAACTGGTTTTATTCACTTAAATGAAAAATTCTTAACCCCCCTACCTCCTGTTATTACAACTAGAAAAGTGGTGATTTAGGAGCACCTAGGCCCATATTTTCACATTTCAGACTCTAATAGAGAGCCGAGCTCTTATAGTCTAGTACAAAATAGGCTTCACGTACCGCTTGCATGTTATTTCTATGAAATGCATACCAAAAGGCTGGTAAATGACGAACGGTAAAGCTGTTTCCTAAATTCTTTGAGATTATTGGGATCTATTGAGAGAACATCTAGTTCTTAAACATTATATATATAAATTTGGTATTCCTATTGTAGCTCGTATTAACTATTACCTTTTCTATCCTGTCTTAATTTTAACTACCACTTAGCTTTTCCCACTCCAAACGTTGCACAAAACTCGGCAAAAAGCTATCTGATGAAAAACTGAAGAGACAAAGCTAACAAAAAACGTAACACTTGCTTTGGACTTATTTATTAAAGATTCCGGCTTGGTACTTAGTAACCCCATTTCTTAGAAAATAAACAATTGTTCGATACCACGACCAACGTAATTTGGTAAGCTGCGAATTATTTGCATTAAATAAAGCATTAGCAGTGCCATATGGCAAAACACAACTATCCATACTGGAGGTAAGCTCTATCATGAAAATATTCCCTATGCTTTCCCATTTCTATGACCAAAACACTTTCCCCACCATCTAGTTCCTCTTACTTTGTAAGCCTCGATGAGTTGTATTAATCTAAAATTGAATTTAACGTCAGAGTTGTCCTTAGATAAGTCAACTTTTGTTTCAAAACTAACATGTTATAAGAGACATATATATTGCTAAAAATGTAACCTGGAATTGTAGGAAAAAATAGCATTTAAGCAATCGTTACACAGTTGTACAAACTAATCAGTGTCAAATACTTATTTACAAATAACTTAAAATTTACATTATGTTTTAGAAAGCAATTGGAAATACTCGTATGCTTAATTAACTTTGGAAACAACTGACTCACTTAGAAAACCCAAAGGCTCGTGCCGTAAAATTTTACAGCATAATTGCAAACGTAAGACGTAAATAGTTCATTCACATGGTGAATCTTATTTTAGTATTGTGGACATTTAAAGATTTCAATGATTAACGAAATATCGAAAACTGCTAAGAGTTTTCGAAATATTAATTCGAGGCAAAAATAAAAATAAAGTCAAACAATTGATCACTATTAATAGGAATTCAATAACTGGATATTTTATCTACACAATTTTTGATCAGTTGCTCAGAAAAATTATAAGAAACTTCATGGAAATTTATATTAAAAGAAAGGAAAATTTTCAAATTAAAATAGAAATGACAATTTAAATTATTATTTATTAAAATAATAATTCTTTGTATATGTTAAATCAATGGTTCATCTATAATTTACTTAAACTGAATTTTTTAAATAATATCTTTTATTTCGTTCGAATCAATTAAAATGCAGCCTTGAACGTGTCTTATCGCGCGGTCATTTTGCCTTGCGTCTCAAGTGTCCTCTAGTAGTTTTGCTTCCATCATTGTATTTTACCTGCTGTGCCTTAGTAAGTGCCGATTGCCTCCGGTAATTGTTATATAAATACCAAAAACGTATATATTTGCTAACTTTTAACAAATATATTTTACGTTATCCCTACATTGAGTTTCTTCGCTTCATTTTTTGTAGATTGTTTTTATAGTCCTAATAATATATTATTATTATATTAATGATCTTTTTCTAGTATATGATTAATGTCGCGTCTTCCAAGATGTGTTAAAATTGTTGGTGAGTCAACCAGAGTCTTAAGACAATTAATATAGATTATAATTACTATTTTATCACTTATTATTAATTTTAGTTCATGACGGTAGGAATTTGGATTACCGTGTGGTTGGAAGCAAGAAAAGTGGGTTTCTATTTGAAATTTTTGATACTTAATCTTCTAGCTCCTCAGACCCGAAAATGGCGTGTTATTTTCATCGGCGGTGAGAAGAAACAGGCCACTGGGATAGTAGATGAGCAGGATGGGTTTCCTCGCTGGGATTGCGAAGTTCTGATGTGAGTTACATAAGTAAGAGAAATCACGTGACATTGCCGATAGGCTAACGTGTGAGCACTCCAAACTCTCTTGAGAGTGAAGATTTTCACGGTTGAGTGGGTGCCCTACTAGGTCGCTCATCCATATATAATGCATCACAGTACTTACTTAATTTTAGTTAATTTATTATCGTCTCAAACAAGCGCCTTCTAGATTTTTCCCTAACGGACAGATTTATTTTTATTATTAATCATATTTTTTACCATTAGTGCGTCTCTAAAAAACTACTCTTAATGAGTTCATCTTGCCATGGTGTTGTTAAATAATGTTGAAGTAAATATTGTTTCTTTTTTTGAAGTTAAATATCTTAGATAGTTTTAGTCGTTTTCTCAATATAATTGTAAAATTCGGCACATATGGGAGGATATTTGTTGTTTTTTAACATCAATAAAAGAAATTTGAACCCATTTTTGAGTCTAAATTTTAATCCGAAGATCAACTGATTCATTTAAGAAATGTCTATTTATGCTTCTACATATTTTATTTATCAATTAATGCTATTCCATCAATTGTTCTAACGTTCATTTTTCATTATTTAACTTGACAAAATAACCATTATTTATTTATTAATCCTGCTAGGCTGTTCAATTGCTGTATCATACTTAATATTTATAATAATAAAATATCTACAATCTTATTTACTATAATTATAACTTTATCTGGCTTCTGGAAATTTCCAGATTAGCAGTATTTATTACTGTCATAAATCTGAGCTTTCAGTTAACTGTGTTTGAGCATCTAGTGTTCAATCAGTCTGAGATTTCACGCTTTATTTAACCTGATAGGACCTATGATGTCAATTTCTTTATATAACACAACCATCGAAAATTTCTCATACTTGACTGATTGCTTTTCAATAAAATGCCTCAAGAGTTTAACAAAAATGTTCAATTGGTCAAGGTCTGATCTGACAACCAAATGCAGAAATTTTTGAATTTAGAAAGGATAATGGTAGACTAATTGTAGTTTTATAATTTGTGAGTGTTCCGGTGAATTTGCTAATATAGCAGAAACACCTGCACCGATATATTCTATTCCCACTTTATTTGTGTCATGACCTTTACATCACTTAAATAACCAAGTATCCTTTCCAAGCCGCTACGTTCCATCCATCCATATAGATTCTATCTATCAACCCTCAAAGCTCAACAAATCTCTCCAATCAACAATTTCTCTGTCTTGCGGTCTTTGTGAATATTTGTAGAAGATAGGGTTTATAGGCTGAAGAATAGCTACGAAAAATCAGGTATTTTATCAGTTCTGCCTTTGCGACGTCATTGCTTTTTTGCCGTTTGAATATTTCAATTTTCCTTCTATCTGTTCAGGATTTGTTTTAACTTTTTAAACCTTGGTCAAACCTAATCTGAATTTATAAGAATAAATGTGGCCTGGTCATCTTGTTTTATTTCTCCCATGTTTTTACGAGTTTGAAATGATGCCTATGAAGAGTGGGTCACTGATATGTGCTAGGCGTTTTAGACTTGAAATTGGTCTCTGCTCCATGTTTTGAAAATAGTTCTTCTAATCTTTTACTTTGTTTTTCAGAGCGCCCCCAAAACCAGTTGACAATGTTCGAATGCTAGTAGTGGATGGAAAAGAACGTGAAGTTGGCCAAGTGATCATCAACTTGCCTGATCTCTGGCCACCCTCCCCACCCCCCTCACTTGTTACCTCTCAGCTCCATGTCCGTGAACTTCAAGCGACTAAACACAACCCCACACCCTGTGGTCAGCTGTCTTTCTGGATTTGGGCAACTGACTACTGGCCGGAAGGCACTGTCCCAATTTCTGGCTCTTCTGGAGGTCATAGTGCTAAGCAAGCCATCAAAGGATCTCTCTCTCATCTTGGAGCGGCTTTAAAATCCTCCCAACAGTGAGTCCCTTTATTTGAATAAAGGTAGCATGCAGTGTTTCTATTTACCCATTTTTCATGATAGGGTAGATTTTTTTCAACCGTTCATTTTAAAAGAACTTTTAACCACTTGGAATTGCAAAATAAGTAGTAGGGAAGAGGAGTTGTTATTTTGTTATCTTACTTTTAAAAGAAAATCCAAGAGTATTATACTTCTCACAATTGATATAGATTGTTATATTTTCGTCTTCTCTGGTTTAGCCAACAATGACTTTTTAAAATTTTATAGTGGTTCAATTGTTCCATCTCAGTCTGGTATCGGTGGGGAAGGTTCTGAAGGTCATTCTCGATTAGGTGCTAAGTTCCGCGACATTAAGAATAGGAATCGTGAAAATCGCAGTGGAGCTAGCTTCATTTCAGCCTCCGGCATGCCGAGTCACCAACCTCAACCAGATGAAGGTTCTGTCCTGATGGGAGCTTCAATCATTTCTTCTCATGCAGGTCTAGCTCCCACGGTCGGTGGCTGGACTTCAGCTGCGTCTGAGTTGACTGGAGGGATGGCTGTGGAGAGTAGTCTTGTCAATGGAGGAGGCAGTTACAACCCTCTCGCTTCACCGGAACAAAATGATCATGACTCCTATGGAAGTCGTGGTAGACCGTCTTCAGTGTTTGGGGCTGATGGCGGCGGAAGGGGAAATGCGAATGATGTGTGGAATGCCTCTGCTGGAGATCTTCCTCCACCGAGTTCAAATGCGCCGCCTCCTATGAGAGAAGGTATGTCATCATTCACGGTTCGAAAATACCTTTGCTCCATTTGCAAAGTATTGGTATTGAAAATTCAGACAGAGAACGATTTAGTCAGGCATAGTTATAACTCACATTAATATTTTTATTTGTTAAGATCGAACAGTCAAAATTGAACCCACTAAGTGCAATTTGTTAGAATATGACTAGGTAGACAATGGATTAGGGGTTGAATGAAGGCTGATCTTGCCATGCTGTGTCATTGATATTGCACTTTCGATCCATTCTACAGTATCCTTTCGCATTTCTCTCCTAAATCAGCAGGATTTTAACGGTATTCATCCTCTTAACGAATCGTTTAAATAAATAGATTTATTGCCAGTAGGCACTTCTCTTCAAAAGACATAAGTGGAGAAGTTACCGAGTCGATTGTTCACGTCTCTGAGGGACATTCTCAACCTTGACATCAGATCCACTGTGATTCTCTTCAAAAAAGCTTTTGCAAAGCGACACTTTCTACGCTCTTCTGATCTGAGAAGACGGACAACAATCCTTAATTCCCTGGACCGAATTTCCATTTATTTTCTTCCAAATTAATTTTCCTCATGAATTTTTATCGTTCTCTTGAATATAATGTATACTCTATTAGTAAACGAGAATGTAATTAAAGTCTGTGGACTCAAACCAGATTCTGAAGTGGTTAACGATCTGTAGCAGAGTTTCTTGGGGGG